CCGCACGCCGCCCCGCTCTTCCTCCCGAGGCGCCGAGCGCCCGTCCCGGCCGGGGTCGTCCGCAGACGCTCCTGCGCTCTCCTTTCTGAGTTCTTGTCTTTCCGTTCGAGCCTGACGTTCGGGGGAAGTCGTGCACGGCTCTGGGTGTTCGAGCACTCACACGCACTGCGGCGTTTGGAAAGCGTGTGAACTGTGAAAAGGACCAGGAAAAAGCACCCATGTCTCAGCACTTAGAAATGTCCATGTCCGTGGTTTATTTTCGTGGTTTTCCACGCGTCTGCGCACAGGTGACATTCTGCATTCTCATACTGTTTTTTTTTCTTCACACTTCGACCCTCTAGCAAGCATTTATGTGATTCAGGCCACCCCGTTTACAGGTGTGATGGCTGGCTAGAGCCTCCTCACCTGAGAGCTGGCCTCCCGGTCCCCTCAGCGGTCAGGGGCATCTGGTGCCAGCCCCCCGTGACGGCCCAGGCAGCCACGCGGCAGTGCCCGTCCCCGAGAAGCCGGTTGTGGGCCGGCGCAGAGAACGGAGCGCGTCACTCCGGTACTGCCGGGCCCCTGCGCCCCGGCAGAGCTGACGTCCAGGCGCGGCTCCCCGGCGGCCGAGGCTCGGGACCGGCGCCTGCTGTGCGCCGCCTCCTGCCGTTCCCTGGGGCCTCTGGCCCCTGCTCTGCCTCTCGCCGGTTGCTCTAAAACCCTTTGAGCACAGGACTTCCGTGAGCCGTCGTGCGGGCCCGCGCCCGGCCCCGCGCCCAGCGGTTGGGACTGAGGGCTCGGGCCCGTCGGGCCCCGCGCGGCTCACAGTGTCCCTGTGTGTGCTGCGCGTGTCAGACTCTGCCGGAAGAAGGTGCGTGAGGGCCGCTCACTGAGCACCGAGGGCCGGGCGCGGGCCCAGCCGGGGCTCGCTCCGCCGACTCACCTTGGGCGTGGCCGCGGGGCAGGGGCCGCCCACCCGCCGGCCCCGCCTCGCTGGGGCCATTTCCCCTGGCCGCTGCTGTAGGCCGCTTCTGGCTTTTCCCTCACTGTCCCCGGCAAAGCCCTCGCTGGCCCCAGGCCTGCCTTGCCGCCTGCCCACGCGCCCCAGGGCTCAGACCCGCAGCGGGTGCCCTCCCTTGGAGCCCTGGCGGGTTCTTGACTCCGCGCGCCTGGCCCGGCCCGGCCTCTGCTGGCCCAGCCCGGGGCGTGGGCTGCCTGGCCCCTGGCTCCCGCTACGGCCCCTCGGCCTTCCACTTGCCGGGGTCAGACCCAGCCTGATCTGAGCCGAGGGCCAGCTGTCCTCCCTTGGCAGAGGGGCCATGTGGCCTGCGCTCAGCGCCATGGCTGCCTCGCCCGGCGGCCAGGGCCACTGTTTCTCGCGCCGGCGCCTGTTTCCTGCCGCGTCCGGGATGCGCCTGCCGTGTAGCCG